GGATGGATGGATGGATGAGTGGATGGATGGATGGATGAGTGGATGGATAGATAGATGGATGAGTGGATGGAGTGGATGGATGGATGGATGGATGAGTGGATGGATGGATGGATGGATGGATGAGTATCACCTAAGCTTCAGAACTTAGAGAGAACAGCTTCAGGATCTGAACTGGCCTATCCCAGAGTCTGCAGTTTCACCAACCACATGGTTCAGCCCTTTCAACAAACTCAACCAGAATGAGTGAACAAACAGACAACAGAGTTGAGAGGAATGTGATTACAGGGGACAGGAAAAAGGAATAGGGGCCCCCAGACATGTAAGCCAAGTGGCTGGCTTGGCAATTTTGAGTAAACCCCTCTGAGTCTCAGTTTCCTTGTCATACAAGCTAACACCATTTTCCCAGCCTCCCAAGGAAACATGATCGATTCTCCAGGCTGGGACCCCAGACAGACAAACCCACCATCAGGTTTTTGGGGGGCCCCAAATGCCCCTGCTCTGAGGGGCTGAGAAGCTGACCCACTTCTTGAAGTGGCCTGGAGGGCCCAAGGGGCCTCTGAGGATGATGAGGGCCAGGGGAGAACAACCCAGTCTCCGTGTACCCCCCACCAAACCCTCCACCAGATCCACTCACCTGCTCCTGAAGCTGAACCCACCAGCCCGAATGGCCAGCCTTGGGGCCCTGGTCCCACAATGGCTTTGTGACTCACAGCCAAGTTCCAGCCAATCCCCATCAGCTCCTGGAGGAAGGGGGTTCTAGAAGGCCAACCCCATGTGGGGGGGAGGACCTAGATCAGGGCTGAGGCTCATGGTGGTTGCTACATATTGCCTGCCTGTACTGAACAGAAAATTAGGGCTCTGAGCAGAGAAGGGGCCCCAGATTCTTCCCCTACATGTGTCTCAAGGCAGACTCAGTCTCACATACCTTGGGCATTTGTTGAACGCCTCCCTTTGTTTTTTTAAAGATTTTACTTTTAAGTAATCTCTACACCCAACGTGGGGCTCAAACTTAGAACCCCGAGATCCAGGGTCACGTGCTCTACCGACTGAGCCCGCCGGGTGCCTCTGAACACTTAACTTTGTAGTGAGACCTGATCTGGGCCTGGGGACACACACAACTCAAATAATTTGAGTGTGTGAAATGGATAGGAAGGAATCAAAGAGGGGGTGGATGGGCTGAGTCCCGCAGGAGAAGGAGTAGGAGGAGGAGAGCTGGGGGAAGGGCTCCCAGGCAGAGGCCACAGCACAGGCAAAGGTCCCAAAGTGAGAAGAAGTTGGGCATGATTAGGAAATGCGGAGGCTGATGTGGTTGGAGGCAAGGAGAAGAGGGTCAGGAGGTGGAGTGCCGCATAGGTGGGACCTCAGAGAGGAGTGTGAGAGTTTGGGTTTGGGGCGCCTGGGTGGCTCAGTCGGTTAAGCGTCTGCCTTCAGCTCGGGTCATGATCCCAGGGTCCTGGGATCGAGCCCCACGTCGGGTTCCCTGCTCAGCAGGAAGCCTGCTTCTCCCTCTCCCACTCCCCCTGCTTTTGTTCCCTCTCTCGCTGTCTCTGTCTTCAAATAAACAAAATCTTAAAAAAAAAAAGTTTGGGTTTTATCAAGAAGGCCCCGCAGGAGCCACGAGAGGGTCCAGAGCAAAGGAGGCACATCTCTTGTACCCTGATTCACATCCTAAAAGGCCAGGTGGGTATCTGTCTGGCTCTGAGGATGGGGGCTCCTTAGGTGGAGCTGGGCCCAAGGTTCCTTGGGATCCATCCCCATATGGGACTGGGAACAGTGGGTATTGACTCTGAGCCATAGTCATGAAGGGGAAAGTGAGGCCACCGTCCCCATCCACCTCCTGGGGCTAGGCTGATGCCTGGTATGAGTCACTGCTGGCCAGGCTGGGGCTGACACACATCTTGGCCTCAGCTCAGCAGGGTCCTGCCAAAGCCACACAGCCTGGTCCGGCAGCCTCACTTCCCTGGGGAGCCACTGGGAGGCACGGGAGCAAGAGGCAAGCAGGGAGGGCGCCTGGGTGGCTCAGTTGGTTGAGCGACTGCCTTCGGCTCAGGTCATGATCCTGGAGTCCCTGGATCGAGTCCCGCATCGGGCTCCCTGCTCGGCAGGGAGCCTGCTTCTCCCTCTGACCCTCCCCCCTCTCACGTGCTCTCTGTCTCTCTCATTCTCTCTGTCTCAAATAAATAAATAAAATCTTAAAAAAAAAAAAAAAAGAGGCAAGCAGGGACACCCAGCCTTACTCGGCAGTTAGCCCCTCATCTTCTCCATGCTGTGGGTGTAGCTTTGGGCAAAACCAGAGACATGACAGTTGGACAGGACTTATGTCCTTGGTCTCAACAATGACCAGGACAGCTCTCATCCATGCCCTCCGTGAGCTCAACACAAATCCAGGGTGGTCAGGGCAATAATGGTGGAAGTACACAGCACTGTGGGAACCCAAGAAGGCCCTAGCCCAGCCTGGAGGTTGTTGGGGATCAGGAGGACAACCGCAGCTGAGTTTGAGCGAAGGTCAGCTGGGTAGCTGAGGGAAGAAGTGTTATCTGGCTTGTAGCCATGCAAAGGCCCTGAGGCCAAAAGGGAAGGAAGTAGAGTTTGGGTAGGGAGGTGCCTGGAGAGACATTGATCTTTCCAGGGCCAGATGCACTCAAGGACTTTTTTCCATAAAGGGTTCAAGTAGGGAGTCAGATCTGTGGTTTCCAAAAAGCCCCATGTCACGTGCTAGTGAACACATAGGGCCTCCACTTAGGCCCAAGGCTCCTGGGAGGCAGGCAAGAGTCCAGGGTTCTAGCCCCTGCTCTGTCATTTAGCAGGAGTGGGATACAATAAGATATATTTGGTCTTTGTCCCTGGTCCCTGGCACTCAGCTCCTAAAACTCTCGAAATCTCTGGGAGTGATAAGTGTCTTTAAAAAAAAAAAAAAAAGATTGATTTGAGAGGGAGTGCCTGCGAGAGTACAAGTGGGAGGGGCAGAGGGAGAGGGGAGAGAATCTCAAGCGAACTCCGAGCTGAGCGCAGAGCCCAACGTGGGGCTCGATCTCACTACCCTGAGATCACAGCCTGAGCCGAAACCCAGTTGGACACCTAACCGAGCACGCCACCCAGGCACCCCGATAAGTATCTTATGCTAATAAGATGAGTGGTGGCTGGGGACCAGCAGATAGCTTCAGGATGGGGGCTGGTCCCCAGAAAGATGGAGAGAGTAGACAGTTGGAGGTTTCAGCTGCACCTCCCAGACCTCCTGGGAGAGGAGAGGCGCTGGAGATTGAACTAATCACCAAAGGCCAATGATTTAACCAATCACGCCGGTGGAATGAAACCAGTGGGGGTCCGAGAGCTTCTTAGTTGGTGAAAACATGGACAGACTGGGAGGGTGGCGCACCCAGACAGGGCATGGAAGTTCAACGTCCCTTCCACTGTGCATCTCCTCCACCTGGCTGTTCCTGAGTTGTAGCCTTTATAATAAACCAGTAATACAGGCGCCTGGGTGGCTCAGTCGGTTAAGCATCTGCCTTCGGCTCGGGTCATGATCCCGAGGTCCTGGGATCGAATCCCGCATGGCGCCCTCTGCTCAGAGGGCAGTCTGCTTCTCCCTCTGCCTCTGCCCCTCCCCATCACTCGTGCTCTGTCTCCCTCTCTGTCTCAAATAAAATCTTCAAAGTAAATAAATAAACCAGTAATAGTAAATAAAGCACTTTCCTAGGCTCTGTGAGCTGTTTTAGCAAATTATGGAAACTGGGGTGGGGGGTGGGGAAACCCTTGGTTTAGGGCTTGCTGTTCAGAAGTCCAGGTGGCAACCTGAGACTTCCAAATGGCATTTAAGTGGGGATGGTGTTGTGGGACTAAGCCCCTCGCCTGTAGGGTCTATGCTCACTTCAGGTAGTGTCAGAACTGAACTGTAGGACACCTGGGTGGTGTCTAGAAAGTTGAGCTGGTTGGTGTGGGGAAACCGCCCCCCCCAACACAACTGGCATCAGGATTATGAGTAAAAGAGTTCAGGGGTCAACATGCAGATCTCCCAACCTCCTGGGCCTCCCCTTCTCTATAGGTTAGGGGTGCACGGGGAGCCCTTGAGTGTCATTATTATTCATCCACCAAACAGATATGGGAGATGTTACCTGGACATGAACCTACCCATTTCATAGCATAGAAGGTAGACGGGGCAGGGGGAGAGGACTTGGTTGAGGTTACACAGTGGCCAACTGGCACCCAAGTTGAGACTCAGCCTCCTGAAGAGTGAAGCTCTGCTCCCAAAATGTGGTTCTTGGTCTCCTCTGTGTCAAGACACCCCCACCTCAGCTTCGGCCTCTCACTGCTGGGCGCCCTCCTGAAACGTCTGCCTGAGGGCGGTGCAAGGTGAGGTCACGTGGTTAAAAACCAAATCCCAAAGCAGCTCTTGAAGCCTTGAAAAGTAGGCAGTCAGGGTGATCAGAAGAGGAAACAGGTGGTGAGGCCCCACCCTTTCAATGGCAGAGGGATAGTGGGCACGTGCTGGTCCTTCTTTGCACCTCTGTTCCCCCATCTGTAAAACAGGAACGATTCACCCGCCTCTCCTAGCAGGGCTGGGTATACAGCTGGTGCTCAGCACATGTCCACCAGCTTGACTTGCCCTGTGTCCTTGACCACCAATGCCTACGTCCCTCCAGGCCCCCAAGTGAGGCAGAAAGCCCAAGGCCCGGGGTCTTTTGCCCACACAACAGCAAGGGTCAGGGTAGGCAGGGGATGAAGGCAGTGCGACCGTCAAGGCTCTGGAGGTTTGAAGCTTAAGGTATAAATGTCCCTGCAAACTCCTAAAAATTGCAGGCTGTGCGACCTCAGATCACTCAACCTCCCTGAACATGAGTTTCCTCAAAATGGGAGACTAGGATGTTGGGAAGGGAGAGGTCTTCAGGGAGTACTTGGAAAATCCTGACTCGAAGTCAGTGCCCTAAGAGGAAGGTCCCACAGAACGTAGCTACACCACCAGTCCTGGAGGCAGACTGCCCAAGTCAGATCCCACCTGGGCCACTTTCCTTCTGGTCCCGAGACTCAGCAACCCCCATCCACCAGACAGTAATCAAAGCTTACACTGAGCACCAACTGTAAGCCAAGCACTGCTCTGTGAACAAACTGCTGATCCTCCAACTTTATGGGGCAAGCTTACAACTGTTCCGCCCATTTTGCAGACAGGGTAAGAGAGGCCCAGAGGTTCAAGTTTTTGCCTTTTCCTACCTGCCTGGGACTGGGCTGTCCTCTTTCCATCTTGTAGTCTCTCTTTCCTGAAGGGGACACCCGTGGGCTCGCTAGTTCCAAACGCTGGTTGGAGATCCCAATATCCCTCACCTAACCTGGACATCGGTCGGCCCCAAGCCCAGGAGCGCCTAGATGGCGCTCGTTGAGCGCCAGATGTGCAAGGCCCCTCCCGCACGCCGGCTCTCCTCCTCCGAACAGAGTCGGAGGGAGGAGGGGGAAGGAGGCAAGGGAGGGGGGAGGGGAGCGTGCGAGCCAGGCCCTGCCCAGCCCATCAGGCCCCGGCGGGGGAAGAAGGAGGCAGAGAGCCGAGCTGGCGTAACGAGACTTTACTGAAAACAGAAAACCGGGCAAACCAAGGATTACAAACAGGAATGTGGACTCGTAGCAAAACAAAACAACAGAACAAAAAGGGCGGGAGGAGGGATGTAGGAAGGACGGAAGGGGGGGGGAGCAAGAGCGAGGAAAGGGGAGTTTTTTTTTTTTTCTTCTTCCCATTTCTTTAAAAAACCAACACAAGAAAAAACACACACACACAACCAACGTTTGTTCCCAAGTAGAAACATAAATAGGGCAGAATCGAACACTCTGTTTCTTCTCTCTTCCAAAAGCAAAAAAAAAAAAGTAAAAGGAAAGGCAGGGTTTGAGGCTGCGCCCCCTCGGAGCCCCCTACGGCGGCGGTGTGTACAAAGGGGCGGCCGGGGCGCGCGGGTTTGTGCAACACTGGGTGGCCGCGCTCGGGGAACAGAGGCAGCGCGAGGGCGGGGGGGTCATGCGCTTGCCCCCGGGAGCAGGGGGTCCAGCTTGTCGAGTCTGAGGCGCCCTCTCCAAGTCCTGGGCACCCTCGGGGGGTCCTCAGGGACCGCGCCCTCTCGGAATCCTGGCACCCTCGGGGTGAGGGGGGGTGTTCCCGGGGCCGCGCCCTCTCCGAGTCCGGGGGCGCCCACGCCCCCCCACACACGAGCCCGCCTCCCGGGGAGGGGGCCGCGCATGCGCCCCGCGCGCGGGCTCAGTACGCGGACACCTGGTGCTGGGGCAGCAGCTGGCAGCCGCTGTTGACGTGGCTGAGGACCTTCTGCTTGAGCTGCGCCACCTGCTCGCGCAGCAGGCTCGCTGTGGACGCCAGCTCCGTGTTCTGGCTCTTGAGCGTCTTCACTTTCTCCTCGAGGCGCGAGATGCGCTCCAGCTTGCGCTTGCGGCACTTAGAGGCAGCGATGCGGTTACGCAGCCGCTTGCGCTCCGCCTTAATGCGCTCCTGCGTGTCCATGTCGATGGGCGACAACGGCGGGCTCTCGCCGAAGCTTGGCACGTCGGGCACCGTCTGCGGCTCATCCTTGAGCGCGGTCAGGCGGGGCGGTCCCAGCGCGCCTGGGGGCGGCGGTGGAGGGAAGGGCACAGGCTCGGCGGCGAAGGCGACCGTCGCAGCACCCCCCGAACCCCCAGTGCCGCCCGCGTAGCTGCTCAGGTTCGCGTAGACGGGCGCCTCGGGCGTGGCTGCCGCCGGGGCCAGTTCGCCAGGAGGCGCGGCGCCCGCAGCCGTGCTCGAGGGTCCCCCGGCGGCCGCGGCAGCAGAGGCCGCGCCCGTGCCCAGCTGGTTCTGCTTGTGCAAGTCCTCCAGGGCCTTGACGAAGCCCTCGGCAAACTCCTGCTCCTCGCTGGCCGCCACCTTGGGGTAGAGGAACTGAGTGCTCGTCGGCGTGGTGGTGACCAGCCCGTTGGACTGGATGATTAGGCGCTCGAGCTCGGGCGAGGCGAGCTTGAGCAGCCCCAGGTCGGGCGAGGCGAGCAGGCCGTCGGGGGGCGCCGCGCCTGGGG